GAGAAAGGAGGAGAAAGCGGGGCGAGCCGCTTAGAATAGTTGGGTGGAGATTTAAATAATCCGAATAGGGGGCCGGGGCGGGAGCGGGGGGAGATTAGGGACACAAAGTCGTTTCGAGTTGCACTTGCTGTGAAGAAGACACCACTGCAGTGGTAAGAAACCAGATGTTTAAAAATAGCATCCGCCAGATCAGGCAGCTGAGAGTTGGAGGCAGGCAAACAAACCGGTACACATCGCTCGGATAAACGCAACACCCCCAAATCTGCCCTCCGCAGTGGTTGGATGTATCACACCCGCACCATTATTTGTCCTTATGGTGCCTGTTTTAAATAGTGGAAGGAGAAGAGGTTGACCGCAGGACAGCAGTGAGGAGCTGGGTCAGACACAATTCATGAACTTTTGTACTCCTGTGTGCTGCTGTCGACAAAGTAAAAATAATGAAACTTTGTGATATGTTTGTAAATGATTTCGGCTGACCTCTCGCCCTGCCCTTCACCATAAACGCTACGGCGGGGAGAACCTGGGAGGGTGCGAGGCTGCGGCTCGCAGGCAGCTCGCGGGGATAATAGCTAGACCAGCATAATGGGATGAAGGTAAATTTGGAAACTCTCTGCTTCCCGAGAGCAACTAACCCCAGCCTATAACCTCCTCTTTATTCACCCATCGCTGTTTCTGTTTTCGACTGTTTTGCTTCTGTTTCGATATTTTTTTTTTTTAATTCTCTTTTCTTTGGGGGGTGTGTGTTTTTCTGATTAAAGAAAGATCTCTTCAGATTCGTGTTAGCCTAAATAGATAAAGACTCTTTTCTAAATGATTTCAAGTATTATTATTCTAAATAGCGCAATTTGACCGGTAACGTCCGTTTTCCGTAGCGAGGACGTAAACGGCAGAGCATTTAAAGTGAGCAGCAGGTCTTTCTGAGAATTTGGTAGGCGAAATTCGTGGCTATAAATTGGTGGGGAGTCGTAGAGCTCTATTGCAGCGATAATAACAAGCGTGTATCTTTTCTGAAATCCCACCTTCCTCCAAACGCGCATTTCAGAACTGAGTCCCAGCAGAATAGTTTGCATTCCTCAGAAGACAGTAAGGACTAAGAGAATTGCAAAGACCTGCCATATTGTAGATGAAAACAGAATGTTATTACGTTGTCTATATATACCCTGTAGAACCGAATTTGTGTGATATTCATATAGTCACAGATTCGATTCTAGGGGAATATATGGTCGATGCAAAAACTTCACCTTTCTGCAAATGGTTAGAAGTTTAAATACTGGTGGAATCAAAAGGCATGTGCGTGCTGAACACTCAGAAATTACAAAAGTTTTGCTGCCTCGCTCCTATTTGCTAGGTTTTAGGAGGTCTCTTAAAATTTCAGTTGTCGTTCAGTCGTAACTCTCACTGACAGACCGTGAATTTAAACGGTTAATCTCACCAAAAGTTACAAATTTTCTGAAAAAAAATAATAATTATCTACCAATCAGTGAATGAATCTTTAATAAGATACTCATAAATTAGCTAGATACGCCAGACATTAGGAAAAATTTCCTGCCAAGTGTCCAGATCGCATCAAAATATTTACGGCAGCAGCAAAAGTAGCACTCGCCCCACTGGAACGTATTTACTTGTGCTCCAGGAATGATATTGATGAATGAAGACCGAATTTATCTCATTAAACCCGTGATATTTTTAACGTAATTAAATGCCGTCTCCAGTTCAATTGATTGAACTTTAGTGGTTAAAAGTGAACGGTTTCTTGCCATCTGTATGATTTTACATACATACATGTATAGATTTACACACATACGCGTACGTTTGCGTCTGTGCGCGCATACGTACACCCGCATATATATTGAGGCTCGCAAAGTGAATGAGAAGTTACTGATTGCCTAATTTTATTCAGCAGAACTAAATTCTGGTAACTTTTGGATGACCTCTGCGAGACAAAGACAGGACAGATCTATTGTACATCATATTACCATCTTCTTTGATGGCTTTTCTTTTCCTCGCCTCCTTATCAGTTTCCTCCCTTTTAATCCCGCTTCGGCTCCCCGCTCCGCGCGTTTCTTTCGACATTTTTTATTTAAAGCGAGGTAACAAGCCCCGGTGGCGGTGGCGGCTGGCAAAGCGGGCGGCGGGGCATCAGCCACCGGGGCTGAGGGAAGGCAGCTCAGACAAAAGCCTTGGCCCTACCTGGGGGGCCAAGGGGAGGGGGGGGGGGCTGCCGCCGCCCCAGGGGTACCCCTACACCTCCGGCACCTTATTTGGGGGGTGCGACCCGCCGGAGAGGGGGGTCACTCGGTTACGGGGGTATTATTGAGTGAAATCGGTGGAAATGCTGAGCTGCGGAGAAATCCGGTGATCGGCTCCCGCCTCCCCATTGGCCGGGCCGGTCACATGCCCGCCTAACTTTATTCAGTTGACAGCAAGTAGGAGGGCTCTATGGCAGGGGGAAAAAAAGACAACACGAGAAAAATTAGTATTTTCTACCTTCAGAAATTAATGGCCATGAGTTCGTATATGGTGAACTCTAAGTATGTGGATCCCAAATTTCCTCCTTGCGAGGAATATTTGCAGAACAGCTACCTAGGCGAGCAGGGGGCCGAGTACTACAGTGCCTCGCAGGGCTCTGATTTCCAGCACCAGGGACTCTACCCACGGTCAAACTACAGCGAGCAGCCCTTTAGCTGTAGCAATGCCCAGGGCTCTGCCGTGCAGCCGCGGGGTCACGGACAGGAGCAATCCGGCCCGGCGAGCCACTTCCCCGGCCAAGCAGAGCATTGTCCACCGCCTCCAATGCCCAACTCGCGAGCCTGCAGCCAGCAGCCGGCCCTCAAAGCCCCAAACGGGTCAGCAGTTAAGCAGCCAGCAGTAGTTTATCCCTGGATGAAGAAAGTCCATGTTAACTCGGGTAAGGATCCTCTTCTTACTTTGCTCTTCTCCCCCCTGCTTCCGATGGCCCTCAGCCACGCTCGCCCGAGTCCCCCCGCCAGGCTCGGGGACGAGCTTTTTAAGCCGAGGTGGCCAATTACACTCGTCATAAATTTTTATTGCCGAGGAAATAGGGCCGTTGGCCGTGCGGGGCTTTGCCGTGCAGGAGAAAACTCCATTTTAGGAGCCTGCTAGAGGCTCCCAGCCCACCTAAGCTGCCTCCGCCTGTGGTGCCTGCCTTAAACGAGGGGGAGAGCAGCCCCTCCATTGTAAGCAACTGGGACGAATCCAGCCCGGCCACATGCTCGCAGCTCGTAAGGTTTTTCTTTTGTAAAGTCGAACCGGCAAGTCAAGATTAGCTTTGTAAAGTTCTCCGTATTTTTTTCCCAGTGAATCCCAATTACAACGGAGGGGAACCTAAACGCTCCCGCACAGCTTACACCAGACAGCAAGTCCTAGAACTGGAAAAAGAATTTCATTTTAACAGGTACCTGACCAGGCGCCGCCGTATCGAGATAGCCCACACTTTGTGTCTCTCTGAGCGCCAGATCAAGATCTGGTTTCAGAACAGAAGAATGAAGTGGAAAAAAGACCACAAACTGCCCAACACGAAGGGCAGGTCTTCTTCCTCTGGTTCAAACCCCCATTTACAGACTGGTTCCAAGGACCATCAGACTGACTTGACAACTTTGTAGAAGAGGTGAAATTTTCCATTTCATCCTTCGCTTCTGACCAGTACTGTACATAACTGACACTGCCCAAGCAGAACCTGCATGTAGCAGCTAAGGACTCGAGAAACTGTCATCTTTCTTTAAGGTACTGTTGTACAAAGGAGACAAAATGACGCTACTTTGGACTTTATTTTATTTGCCTCTGCTAGCACAACCTAAAAAAAAAAGAAAAAAAAAAAAAGAAAAAAAGGGGGGGGGAAAACGGGGGGGGGAAAAAAAAAAAAAAAGAAAAAAAGGGGGGGGGAAAACGGGGGGGGGAAAAAAAAAAAAAAAGAAAAAAAGGGGGGGGGAAAACGGGGGGGGGAAAAAAAAAAAAAAAGAAAAAAAGGGGGGGGGAAAACGGGGGGGGGAAAAAAAAAAAAAAAGAAAAGAAACATCAATGCAGGCAGTGGGAATTGGGAAAATATTAAACAAGACCTTCTGTCCATAAAAAGTAATAAATCATTGAAAATGAAACTGTCCTGTGTTTCAGTTTGGAATTCGAAAGTGAAGGTTTGATGCTTTATTCTGGGATTTTTACTTTTAATTGTCTTTTTATCCCATGCAATTTCGGGAGGATGCGTTTGGACAAGTTGAGGGCAGGAGATTTATAGCATAGTCTTTTATTTGAACATAAAGACTAGTAATTGTGAACTTTTTGTGCTGCGTTACCTTTCTTGGTGTAATGAAAGTACTTGCTCATTTCCATAACGTCTCAGAAGATGTGCATAGGAATTAAGTGAAAACGGGTTATTTTATGTACTGATAGTGTTAGCGTATTTATTTATTTGTTACATAGGAAAGTGAAGATAAAAAGAAAAATAGTCAAACCAAAAACGGGGAAAGGGAACCGAAATACAGTATTTCTCCTTCCCAGTCTCATGAACACATGTGTAATGTTTACTTGTCTTGAACGTACACAACTTTCTTGTCGCTTTTTTTGAATTTCCTTCTTTGTGAATAGGAAAAGCGTCCCTGGTTCTTACCGTGTGCCATCTAGGGCTAAAAGGCTTGAAATCTGTTTCCAAAGTATGCTTTTGCTTTCTACTTTAAACCACCGATACCTCATTTAAAAAGGGAAAAAAAAAAAAAAAAAAAAAAAAGACCACAAAACCCCCTACCCACACAACAACAAAAAACTAAAAAAAGCCCCACAGAGTGAAAAATTAGTGACATCTCTGATATTTCTGATATAACCTAGGTCATTCAAAGCTGAATGCATTCTATCAGATTTTAATTTATTTTTTTTTTTGGCCAAGAGAGAGGCAGGCTATGTGGGTCGTTACTTTGTTTTGTTTTGGGTTTATTTTGGTTAGTTGGGTGGGGTTTTTTTGGAAGACAGTGATTGTTTTCAAGCGAACCACGACACATGACTGCAACGGTTGGAAATCTCAGCAAGTTGCTTTCAAGGAAAGGGGAAAGGCTCGGATGGGAGCAGAGCTGGTCTAATACCCACGGATTTGTCCCTGGCTGCTTCGTGCCAAAGTTTTAGTGCGTTGTAACTACCAAACCCAGCCAAACCAGCTCCCTCAGCCACTTACACCTCCGCTCGGGAGATTTGAAAGCTCAGCCCTTATCTCCTGTACCCTCAGGGCAGCCTGGGAGAGGGACCACATCATCGAAATTGTAACGAGATGATCCCTTTATTAAAAAGAAAAGGGGCAAAGCAGGAAACCCAGCGCAAACACTGGAGGGAGGTGGAAAGAGCACGGGGTGAGCTAACGTGCCCATCTCCAGGCTGGGTGCTTCCCACCGAGGACTCATTGCTTTCTGGGCTCGCTGGGGAAAAATACGGTCCAAAATGGGCTTAAATGAATTCGAAAATGAAAGGCGAGCTTTTCAACAGGAGTGTATTCGGCAGCATTAACTGTGGCCAGCGGTTAATTTCTGCCCTTTTCTCATCCCTAGAAGTCCACGAAGTGTCTTGTAAGACTTGGCCTTTTGTTTTAGAGCCTGGAGCAAACTCTTTGTTCTTCCTTAGGGTTAGCCCAGTTCTCAGACTTGCACATGGCAATACTTGAATATATCCACGTCGTGATATTAAAGATGGATATTCCTGCATTATTCACATCATTGTTTCTATGACAAAAAGCACCGAGTTCATACATAGTAAAGACGTCTTTTTTCTGACGCCTTCACGTTGAGAAGCTGAAAAGGTATTTTACTGAAGTTCGGCTAAATTGCAGGAACAGGTTCACCCAGAGGACAAATTTTCTATTCGATTAGTTGTATTTCAGCCGGGAAGAGTGACCTCTAAACCCTTAACCTTTTGGACCCAAACTACCCTTCCCTTTCTCTGGCATGGAGAGCAGCTAGCAGCAACGCTTGAGGAGGGAATTCCTGAGACAAGTTTTCGAGTTTTGTTACACCAGGTTCCTGTGGTAGCAGCCTTTCGTCTCCAGAGTTGCCCAAAGCCTTCCCTTTGCTCTTCATACGAATCTGGAGAAAGAAAAAACAAAACAAACAAACCAACC